CAAAGGCTGCAGTGGAAGCAGCTGCTTCCATAGTCCTGAAGCTGCAGCGGATCCATGCATCCCCACCACGCATGGTTCAGCACAGCTCCTCTCCCACTCCAAGGAGCCACAGGCTGCCCCTTCGCTTAAGGCTTCTGCTCCTGGGTCAAGAATTTTGTGCAAAAAATGTGAAAAGTTCTAAAGTATGGTCAGTAAACACCATGTATGTGGTCAACCCCTTTCTGTGGACATGAATTTATTCTTTATTCTTTAAGTGGATCTTCTCCATGTCTTCAGACTGGAAGTTCCTTGCTACCATTGATGTAAACTCTCCCCAAACTGTATCAGAGCACTGGTGTGCCACCTGGGAACATTATTACTGCAGAAAGCTGTCCACATTTTTTTTCCTATAAAAAAACTTTGCTAGCATCAAAAAAGTATTTTTCCTCACAAAAATATTTGACAATAATAAACCTAGGTTGACAGCAGTAACCTATAAGCAGAGATAGGCATGCATTGGACTTCATCACAAAAGGAGCTGAACTAGCTGATTTCTCAGCTTGTAACCTGTTCTTTGGAGATGACTGCTCCTTAGGAAATTATCTTAGTCTCCACAAGATATGCACCTTTATTGTTGTGCATCAGAGTTGTAACTCTGTCAGACTTTATAGATTCTTAAGCTGAGGTAACATGTGCAATTTTGTCGCTTTGTGAAATTTTTAATGTTGTGCCTGTGATATTTTTTATATGATGGGAGTAAAAGAAAAACATTAGAATAAATTAGAAACAAAATAAAAATTCTGCTGAAGGAATTAGTTTTTTTTTTTTTTTTTCCAGTCAATACTTTACTGAACTCTGTTGCTGTGACATCAGTGTTCAGCAATAAAGAACTGCATAATTGACTTATTGGACAGTTTATAGCCTATCGATTGCCAGGGAAATTTCCTAGACGGTAATCAGTGGCTAGGATGTACCAAAGAGGCATAGATGTATCATTTTTCCAATCTCCTTATGCCTAGAATGTGAAGTTGGAAAATCTGTGCTTCTGAAGGATTCTCTGTTTCCATGGTTTGGCTGAAAAAATCTACTTCTTCCATGTGCTGAATTGCCCATGATGTAATATGCAATATATACATATTAGTAACAACAGTTTTGGGACATTATAATTCACTTTCTTCAACTACAAAAATATGCAGCATGTACTTTTTTACAGTTCATTAAATATAATATTATCTTAACATCTGGTATTAGGAGGTATTAACGGGAGTTTTTCATGTTTTACTTGGCTTGTTTTGAAAAAAGTGGCAGACATTATTTTCTGCGATGCTGAACGGTGGGAATATGGACAGTCTAGCCAAGTTTCAAGCACTTCAGTGAGACATTTATGGGTGATTGGACAATATTGACTCATAGGAGTAGCAGAAACTTCTCCGATGTGGTCTGAGGGAGCCATGTGAGAGCTAGGTAGAGGTTCATTCTAAAAAAATGATGCAGGAATGTCCAAATTTGTGCAAAGTTAATGCGCTGAAGCAACATTCAGCCTGTGAATGGGTGCACTTGGGGCAAAATGAAATTTTGAGAACGCGGTGCAGTCCACAAGGTTTTTGTACTGGTGGAAAACTCTTTTCCCAAAGACAGCAAGTTAAGCATCAGAGTATGAAGTAAAATATAGAGGTACTGAAGTGAGATTTAATCAGTAAAAATATATAAACATCTGTGTTACATACTGCTAGTTCTTTTTGTTTTATGTTCTTAGACAGATTTTTGTGTCATTTTTTTTGTGCTGTGTTTTTCCTGCTGTTTTTTCATTCAGGAGCAGCATTATTCCCCTTCATCAGAAACTGCTGCATATGATCTTCAGCTTCCCATGTCTTAGTGTGGATGACAGTCATGAGGTTTTGTCATATTTAATTAAAAAAATAAAATCAAAGCAGCCTTCTGAACTCCAGCTTAGTCCAGATGTCAATTAAAGCTGTGCTGGTGTTGCGTCAGCAACTTGGGAAAGGGTTTGAGGACGTCGTGCTTTGGACTTCTTGAGAGCCCAGGGCTCCTCTCACCACATTTGCTGTTAGCAGGAGGGCTTTGCAGAAGCTGCAGGACTTGTTTTATTGCATGCACATTTTCAACAGCAAGGAAGTGCACTGTTTGCACAGGGTATAATCCCCAGGTTTCATGCTGGGTATTTTGGTGACTTACGGGCACGAGAGGTGGTGGGAAAGCCTGACTTTGCGTCAGACCAGCTACAAGTGTAGGACTGAAGGCTGCCATACCATTTTGTCCCCATGTTAGTCCTCTTTATTTTTGGATGTGCACGCAGTAACTGTCTACTAAATCACAGAGTAAGTGAGGTTGGAAGGGACCTCTGGAGATCACCTAGTCCGATCCCCCTGCTCCAGCAAGGATACCCAGAGCAAGGGTCACAGGGTGGCATCCATGTGGGTTTGGAAGATCTCCAAAGGAGACTCCACAACCTCCCTGGGCAGCCTGTTCCAGGGCTGGTTGGAAAATCTTAAAGTACATTCTACACCACAGGTTACCAAGTGATTCCCAGTGCTTGGTAGCAAACCTCAAAGATCAAAAGCCAAAATGACATTCACTACAGGAAGGCAGCAGAAGAGATTGAGGTCATCGTGATGTATTCAATCTCTGCATTTATGTCCATAAATGCATGTTCATGCATTAAGTGCAGTGTAACTCAGAAATGGACCTCACACTGAGGCACAGAGGAGGCAAAAAACACTGCAGTGGTTTCTACCAGTCTGACCAGGTTGAAAAAATTCCTTCAAGCTGCCAGCTGTTATTAAGGGTGCTCAGCACTGAATGTACAAACAGGCCACCAGTCGAGCACTGGAGAAAAAGTAGTGGCTTTAGCGGCATCAGCAGGCCCTGTTTCCCCTAACTAGAACTAGCTTTCAGTCAAATAAGTCAAATATTTTCAAATAAAGAGAACCCTGTTCCTATTCTCCCCTAATTAAGGTTATGAATCAGAAAAGAAAAAAAAAAAAACCTTCATAATTCTAATATCAGCTAAGTGGGGAAAAAAAAAAGGCATAATGGAAACAAACATGAAACTTTTCTCCTTTCAAACCTGAAAACCCTTTATAGTAGTTGGAGATTTCCTAAACAATCTGTACCTTCAAATTGGTTACTGGATGGCCTTTTTTCAAAATGGGAACAGCAACCAGTCGTGTAGCTGCAAAAACCGCATTGCCAAGCTAAGAGTGTTGATAAGGAAAAAGTGGATGTAAGGACCCGTTTCAGAGGGTCCACTGGAATTAGCTGAATTAAATTAAGAAAGAGAATATAGGCCAGATATTGGAGACATAATAGACAGACTGGTGACAGGCCTGAAAGTTAATGCAATTATGTCAAGTTCTGACATTTTATTAAGATTCCTATAGATAGGTATTTAATTGAAATACACTTTCTGAATGCAATCTGAGACTAAGTAGTTCTGCGAGTTCTTCATTTTTTCCCTTAAAATTTCTCATCTTAATCCTCCATTAAAAAAAAAAAAAGAATGCAACCATATTTTAAGTGTGTGTTAATGGTTTAAGGCAAGACTTTTAAAAATGCTCGAGGGCTGTTGAGATGAGCGAACTTCTTTTGCTTTCTAGTATTTAACACTGATGACAAACATCTGAACCCATTCTCTGTAAAGGTGTATACTGGTTCCATGGGGATTATTTTGCCCTATGCTTGGTGGTATTTGCAGCTGCAGTTGCAATATGGGTCTCATTTTCCGAAATCTGCTCAGCGCTCGGTAGCGCACTGCTGTATGTGAGATCAAAGTTGAGCCCTTGGCTTGTGACAAAAGCAGAGTTCAGGCTTTGTAGCAGGAAGTTCCTGGGCTGATGGCATGTCAAGATAGCAGGAAAAGTGCCGTGCCTAATGGCTAGGATGTTATATTACAGGTAATTTTTGTACAGCACACTGGGTGCAGCAAAGTAATTGGTGCCTTACAAAGACACTGTGAAGAAAATAGCACCTTCCACGATGCGAGGCCTCTTTGAAGAAGGGGCTTTGATGGTTGGAAAGGAGGTGGTTAATGTTTAGTCTAGTGCTTTATCTATAAAAGGCAAATAAAGTTCCAGTTTTCGGCATGGAGGAATATTTACAGGAATATGTTCTAAAGATAGTTTAATGTAACAAATAGTCATAAATGGGTGAATAGGGTGGAAGGTGATTCTGAAAATGGCACAAATTATTTGGCTTTGTTAAAATAGAAGATGGTTGAGAAAGCAAACAACGAAATGAAAGGGTGGTTCAGTGGTGGCAACATTCAGTAGTGACAGATGGAGGAAAATATACACTGGAAAGAGTTCTTTGAATTGCTAATACATATGGCTGAGTTCTATTTAATGATAATATCCAAGCAGAGATATACTAAATGAAAATGCAAATAACACAGCTCAAGCTGTATTGCACAGTTAAGCTGCAGAATACCACGCCACGAGATATCATTTAATCCCTTAGTCAGAAGAAATCAAAAAAGAATTAATTATGATTAGGGAATCAATTACCTACTTAGTGGAATATTATTATCTACTTGGATGAAATAAACTGCAAATGTGAATTGCTAACTTACAGGGAATAGGAAGGAATTTCTATAGACAAGTGTTTTCCACTCTGATATATTATATGGATACTGACAGTTTTCTGAGATGGAATGGGCAAATCCTTGGGCTGATCTAGTATGAAAATTCTAACTAAAAGGAAACAGAGTTACCCATTTCTATTCGTACTGATATGTAGACAGAGGATAAGGTATTGTGATTTTTTTTTTAATGCAGTTCCGTGAAAAATGTTTGAGTAGATTGATGATGGGCAGGAATATAAACTTCAAAGGTTGCAAAGTACCTGGCAAAAATGCACAAGCAGATTAATTTACAAATGTGATAAGAAACCTCTAATAGAGAAGCATGAAACAACGTTTTCCTCTGTGACACTGTTTTTTTATGCCAAATATACCTTGACCTCTAACATACTTCTATTTTGTTTTCTTTTGTTTTTCTTTCCAGTTTAAAAGAATGCTGAACCGTGAGCTAACGCACCTATCTGAAATGAGTAGGTCAGGCAATCAAGTCTCAGAGTATATATCAAACACATTCTTAGGTAAGTTGATGGGACTTTATTTTTTTGCCTTTTATTTTTTATTTCTCTCTGTGCTGTGATGCATTTTAAAAGCAAGTACCTTTCCAGATGATTTTCTGCTTCCAGAAAACGTACATTTTCTATTTTGTTGTTCAGGATTTGAGCAGAAAAATCATGGGAGATGTATTTCTCCAGAGCTCATTTGATTTTTTTGAATGTGGTTTCTCTGTGTGTGTAGTTACAGATAGAAGTGTATTCATGTACAATTAATTAATTGTAATGAATATATTACTACCACATTAAGAAGTGAATATGTAATGAATATGACATATTTCATATACTAAAAGTCATTCTTCCATTCTGTTCTCCATATGGGCAGAAGGAAAGTTACACCAAAGAGGTTTCACTGTGCCAGAAGTACAAAAGTAGACGTAACCTCATTAAGTCTCACAGCACGCAGTGGTCATGCCTTGGCATTCGGAGCCTGCACAGGAGAAAGTGGGCAAACACGGCTAAATCAGCATCAGAACAGATTGCTGCTGGCTGGGAGAATATGTACGGCTAACGGGGTTACATGCTGGGGTGCAAGCATTAAAATACCCTGACACAGTATTACAAAGATTATCCTTCCTCCTCTGATTATGCTTCCTCCTCCATGGCTTCGCAAATGGTGCTGTTTTTGAAATAAAATTGTTTAAAAGGGCTGAAATTTTATGCCAACTGTGTGGGTTTGAACATGAAGATATAGTTAATATATGAATTAATAGAAAAATTGAGGGAAACACCGTAGGTTCACAAAAATTGCATATAAGGGAGGCACAGCTGGACATACCTGAATTAGGATAACAGATACTTCAAAAAGTACTAGTCAATCATATATGTTAATATACATCTTGTTTTATTTGTGTATGGTTCCATAATTGGGGCATTTGTGTGTGTGTGTGGTGTTTTTGTTTTGTTTTTTAAGAAGGCAGAGCTTTTTACACATACTATATCTTACTTATCAGTGTATATTCTAAAAAAATGAAGGTGTCTGCTGAGCGCATCCATAATTTGAGTAGCCCCCTCCGAGAACAGCAGCACAGCAGGATTTCCTGCAGCAGGCAAGGGAAGAGCCTCCGCTGTGGAGAATGGAGCCCTGGAAGGCTCCACGTGAGGTTGCCCGAGACGATGACCTACTTAGACTTGCCGAAAGCTGGAGGTATCAGTCAGTCTCTGCAAGCCTTCACTGGAAAACACAAGACTCGTTTTGACAGGTCTAGGGAAATGCATCTGTCAGCCTTGAGCTGGAGCAGCTCTGGGATTGGAATCCCTTGGAGTGCACAGAGTCTGGCTGCATGCAAATAAAATCCTTGGATACTTAAAAATGAAGATACAGGAGGATACAAAGGGGAGAACACCATTTAGGACTGTATCCCCAGGTAGAGCTCTGTGATGTGTGTGAAGTTGTTAATAACGACAATTCTATAACAAGAAATTAAAGACAGCAAAAATATTCCCTGTGTAAAGAATTAAAGCTCCTACATTGAGTATGATACTCCAGCAGCTTTTTATTTCTCAAAATAATTAACCTTTTTTCTTACAGCCATAAAATATATTGGAGCCTGCCAATGAGGATAAAATAACCTAGTGTAAAAACCTCATGCCAGAATGGCAAATTATCTTTTCTGGACATAAGGCTGGGCCGAGGATATTTTGTTTAATGTGCTCACAGTTAGGAAAACATTGGCAGTCCCGCGGAATTCCATCGGAGATCTAAAGCTGTTCAGACAGACACTTCCTTTCACTCGAGTTGCTCTGACAACTCCATGTATGAGGCTGCCTTTGATGGGCCTAAACTTTGTGCATATGACCAAAAGCATAAACATCAAAGCAGGAGCACGAGTCAGTGCGCTTCATCTGCTGTCGGTTTGCCCCAGTCCGGAGCTCTCGTGCTCCTTCTCCCCCTTTTTGTGGCTCTCCATCTGAGGAGAGCAGCGGGGGCAGCCAGGGAGCTCTGTGCCGCAGGCTGAAGCTTGGTGACATTTCCACAGTCTCCCCTTTGCTGTGATTTGCTTTGGATTCTTGGAGGTCTCCAGTAAGTGCAGACTGCTCAAGGGTAATTAAAAAAGAAAGAGAAAGAAAGAAAGAAAGAAAGAAAGAAAGAAAGAAAGAAAGAAAGAAAGAAAGAAAGAAAGAAAGAAAGAAAGAAAGAAAGAAAGAAAGAAAGANGAAAGAAAGAAAGAAAGAAAGAAAGAAAGAAAGAAAGAAAGAAAGAAAGAAAGAAAGAAAGAAAGAAAGAAAGAAAGAAAGAAAGAAAGAAAGAAGAAAAAGGGAAGAAGCAAACACAAGAATGTAGATATTAAGCTTGCATTTGGTTTCAACTTCTTTTTTTGAAAATATACATTATAGAATGGAAATAAATGGATTTATCAGATACTTATGATCCCCACTCCCCCTTTTTTTTGGTGTGTGTGTGTGCACTGAGATGTTGAGGCTACTGTCTTAGAAATATCTGCGTCCTTTCAAGATGTCTTGATAACTGGGAAAGATGCAGTTGCCTTTTAGCAGAGAGGAGATAATTTGGACATAGTCAAAAAACTGACAGTTGAAAAACTGTATGAATAAAATCAGCAAAAAATAATGCAAACTCCTAGCTTCTTGGCAGAAAGCTGTTTTTACATATAACTTTGATTTCTTAAATATATATATTTTTTGTTGGGAACTGCACTATCCACAATATGAAACTGTACAATAAAGTAGACATAATATTTCTGTTTTTCTTCATTCTTTTGAAGACAAACAACATGAAGTTGAAATCCCGTCTCCAACACAGAAAGAGAAAGAGAAGAAGAAGAGGCCAATGTCACAGATCAGTGGAGTCAAAAAACTGATGCACAGCTCCAGTTTAACTAATTCCAGTATTCCCAGATTTGGAGTTAAAACAGACCAAGAAGACGTTCTTGCCAAGGTAAAGAATATTTAAATTTTTGAATGTAAACCATTGAATCAAGATAAAAGATTGTTGAATGAACTTAAGAGTGTTATTCCATCCTGTGTTTATAACCATTGATTTCAGGCTGTAATGCCAAAGGCTGATCTCATTAAAATAATATGAAACTGGTGCAGTGGAAAAAATAATGTAAGTCAGAATCAGGACATGAGGGTGAATTCAGTACTAAGAGGATTCCAACAAGAATATTTGCTTTCTGGGCATGGAATATAAATATGAATTTGTAGTCATTGATAAAGCTGCTTATTAATAAATAAAACCTAAAGAATGAAAACTCTTACATTGTCAGAAGGATGGAAATACATACTAGCTCTGTTGTTTTGAAATACACCAATGTATGTGGCATTGGAGATATCCTTGCAGGTCCTGTCTTCAGCTATATCATTTAATGCACATAGGTTGCTTTTTAATTTTCAGTGAAATTTCCTGTGATGATAGCATGAGCAGTTAGCTATTTGACAATAATATAAAACTAGCATAAAGAGATTAATCCAATTTTAGGTTTTTGCATTTTAAAATACACCTTTTGTTTGAACATTCTGCTTTTGAGAGTAGGTGAGATGGCAGAATTGCAGCATCTCTGGAGGTTTCCTCCCAGGTGAACTCTGCTGTTACTGGGCAGGTAGATAACAAAGTGTGTCAGTTCAATATATTCAAGATCCCAATAGCATTTTTCCCTCTGGAGCAATCCACTTGAAAGAGGGACTCCTCCCTGCCTACTCAGTTAAATTCTGGCAAGTTGATGGCTGCACATTGAAATGTTGTAAGGTTAGTAGCTGCAGCCTCCATCTTTTCAGAGAGTTTGGCATATTATTTTCATAGTAGCTAAGCCATATTGAGAACTTTGAATCTTTGTGGGCCTGCCATTTGAAACGATTTCAATCAAAAACCTTTGGCATATGTGCATTAGATTTCAAAGTGTCTTGCTGGCTTCTGTTCTAGGAACTAGAAGATGTAAACAAATGGGGCCTTCAGGTTTTCCGAGTAGCAGAATTATCTGGAAACAGACCTTTGACAGTCATCATGCACACCATTTTTCAGGCAAGTAGGCACAGCTATACCACTTTCTGCTTATCTTGGAGGTCATTCTGTGCTTTATAATCTTAGATGTTTCTCTCTCTTTTTGCAGGAACGGGATTTGTTAAAAACTTTTAAAATTCCAGTAGACACTTTAATAACTTACTTGATGACCCTAGAAGATCATTACCATGCAGATGTGGCATATCACAATAACATACATGCTGCAGACGTTGTTCAGTCAACCCACGTCCTGCTATCAACCCCAGCCCTGGAGGTAAACACAGAGAAGGGAAAAGAGCAAACATGAGGGAAGGGGAAATACTAAGATGCTTCTAAACTGAATATTAAAGATCTTGTGTCTGTGCTTGTTTGGTTTTTTTAAGAGATCTTAGCATTCCGTTAATGAATTAATTCTCTTTTAAAGATACTTTATGAGGATTGAAGTTTATTTACATGTAACTATTGTGGAGGAAGATTTCTGCTGTCATAACCTTTTCTTTGTAACAAAATATTTAACTTGTTTTCACCACCTCATTATTAACTACATCCTATTCAGTCATTATTTCACATATAGAACTATCCCTAACTACGGTCAGTGGAAATGCTTAGGCTTAGGAAAGATGGCTATAAAATGCAATAAATTTAATTCCCTTCAATGGGGAATTCTTTATTTTTTCATCATTCATTCTGAACCTGAAAGGGTTTGCCTGTTTTGTATTTTTGTTTTTTTTTTTTTTCCCTTTAGATATGATCATGTACTACATGTACTAAATATTTACTGAGTTGCTTAAAGTGAATCCTTAGAATGGAAGAACGATATTTATTTCCCTTCTTCGAGCATGATTCAATCCCTATTGTAGCAAACATTGACATATCCCAATAAAATGGGGGAAAAAGGCAGGTAAAGCAAGAAGATGAAATTTCAATAGCTCAGAAGAACTTGCCCCCATTTTGCAGCAAGACTGCGTTTTGATTCTTTTTTTTCATAATGACCGATCTTTCTTATTACTGAATGTTTCTACCCTACCTTCTTATTAAAGTGAGCAATATAAGCAGATCTTAAGACTGTTGGCATGTCCTGATACTCAGAGATTCAAAAATTCTTTTAGTAAAAAAAGTCTTTATCTTAAGAAGAAGATGTGGTCTGCATAAATTAGTACTGGCCTCACCAAACAGCTGAAGTGATTGCCGGTAGCATCATGTGGTGGTGGTGGTGGTGGTGTATGTTTTT